ATTTTGCTATGCATGCCAGAGAGTCAGAGGAGATAGAAAGTGAGAAATCACCCCCCAGGGGGATGGTCACACTGCAGTCCCTTCTCCTCTTCTCCTCTCAGGATTTTGGGCACACGTACCCAGTGTGAGTTTCAAAGTGCCAGGTCTGGGACTTGAACTACAGTTGGCCACATTGGAGTCTAGCACATTAATCACCACACCACCTACTGGCCCCCTTCCCTTTTTTTTTTTTTTTAGAGAGAATTATTTAATTTTATTTATTATATTTTAATTTGACCAGAGAGACAGAGAGGGAATGTGAGAAAGCAGGCCACCAGGTCCAGGACTCACACTGTGGCCAGTCATGTGGGAGTTCAGCGTCTTAGCCACAACACCACCTACTAGCCCCAGCCCTTTTTAAAGAGTCTTCACCATCCACTTTGTTACCAAAACAGAAAAACTGAGCGGTCACCCTTGACTCAACTCTTCCTCATTCCTCCAAAGTTTAATTGATACATTTTCTCCATTATACCTTCTAGACTGTAGCACTATTTGGGTAGGAACCATCAGAATTGTAATCTCATCACCTAAAACAGTGTTCGAATAAGGAATTTTTGAAGGAATAAATAAAAGAATGAATGAAACTCATTAATATACCTACTTCCTTCTTTCTTCACTACCTCTTCTACACTTCAGACCACTGCCAGTTCTCACTGATGTCTTTAATTTGCAATTTAGAAATTCCATAGTTAAAATGCCCTAACTGGTCTCCCTGCTTCTAGGGCTGTAATCCCTGCCCCCGAACCCCTGCAGTTCACTTTCCACACTGTAGCCAGAGTAATTTTTCTGAAACCAAGGAGTCTGATCACGGTCCTGCCTCTTCTGATTTGTGTCCTGGTTTACAACTGTTGTCCTGGAACACTGTCAAAAATGTTTCGGGTTGGGCAACAGTGACAGGATCGCCTTATACCTAATCCATCTTCTGCCCACAGTCCCAGCCCCACTGCTCCTTAGGCGTTCCTCGCCTCACCCTTTCTGCCACTCTGATCTTATGGGGCTTCTTACATTTTTTCCAATTTGTTGTACTCACTGTTCTCACTGTTCCTCCTTATGCCTGCAGCATTGTTCCCTCCTGCCTGTGTTTGACTCTTACTGACTCCTATTGTTCAGGTCTTCGGCTAGATGTTATTTTACTGGGAAATATTCTCTGACCCCAGGTTGATGTCAGGTAACTTTGTGTTCCAACTGGAGATGTTTGCTGTAGGGTGCATGTGCTCACCAGAGAGACAGAGAAACAGAAAGCATGAAATCACTCCCCAGGGAGATGGCCACACCTCAGTCCCTTCTCCTCCATTTTCTTCTCAGACATGCCCAGCTTGAGATTCAAGCCACCAGGTCTTACACACACACACACACACACACACACACACACTTTCTTGGGACTTGAACTAGAGTCTGCCATGTGAGAGTCCAGCACTACACCACTCGCTGGCCCTGTGTTGCACCATTTCAATTGCCTGTTGCCCACTGTGGGTTCCCTGCTAGCCTCTAAGCTCTGTCAGGCCTGCAACTACCTCTGTCACAGCGGTGAAATTCTGATGCCTACCTCAAGATGTTGCATATGGATGACACTCAGCAAGTATCTAGTGAAGGAATGAAGTAAAGCATCGCCTGCTGACCAAAGTGTGTGTGTAAACAAATCTTACTCCATAATAAATATCCCAGGGACCTGCCTAATTTACGGTTGCAAACAGTGTATTGTCTTCTCGTCTCTGATCACCATGTTTGTGATAGTGGGGGAAGTGAGTCTGTGTTCCTTTGTAAGTTCATTCTAGGACAAATTTGGAGTTTGAACACTGTCAATTCCAGGAAGTCTTGCAGGTGATAATGTTGCAAAACAAAGAGAAGAACAGCTGTTTGCTAGCTTATCACAGAGCTCAGGCTACTTTTACTTCACTCCGTGAAAGAGATTGGTTTTTTAAGTTATTTGCTTTGAAGTTCAAATCAAATTTACTTTCATTATTCTAACATATCCTGGATTGTATAAATTCAAATCTATTTTCACACTAATAAGAAACAAACACAAAATGTCTCTTACTTCCAATATAATTATTTGTACTGTATTACTTGAAAATTTGAAATGATGTGCTTTTAGATGGTAATTTTTGCACTATGATTTGATCTACCAAAGCATCTTAACGTCATAGCATTTCGTTCCACATGTATTGACTAGAAAGGGCCTGAGGGTTTGTAGATGGTGTTCTGTTAATCAAATGGGAGGTTAATGTTTTTTTTTTACCAAATAGAAATAGCGTTAGTATTTTTCTGATTATAAAAACAATACTCATTCACTGCAAATATATATGTAAGACAATAGAAATAATCTATAATCTCACCTTTAGATTATTGTATTAAACATTTTAGGGTATGTTTTTCTAGTTGGTTTTTTTTTTTTTTTTTGGCATATCAGTCATGTCAATTGAAATTCTTTTAAAAATGAAGATGGTGTTGGTTCACACCCATGGCTTTATGATGTGTTTTCCATTTGAGAGGTTTGGGAGTTTCAAGGAGAAAAATGGGTTAAGTAGATTTTTAGGAAGTTTCACTTTCCACCGTTTTGAGTACTATAATTCCCTCTTTACCACTCCCATTAAGAAAATTTCTAGGGACCAGCAGTTGGCATAATGGCTATGTTGCTGGACTCCCATGTAGTCGACTGCAGTGCGAGTCCCGGACCCGGTGGCTTAAACTCAGCTGGGTGTGTGTGCGTGTATGCCCAAGATCCTGAGAGGAGAATGGAGGAGAAGGGATTGCTGCGTGGCCATCCCCCTGGGGGGTGATTTCTCACTTTCTGTCTCTCTGTCTCTCTCTATCTTTCTGGTGAGTGCATGCACCCTATAGCAAAAACCTTTCCAAAGAAAAAGAAAACTTCTATAAAAACTGTATTATTGGGACCAGCAATTGGCATAATGGCTATGTCCCTGGACTCCCATGTAGTTGACCACAGTTTGAGCCCCGGACCTGGTGGCTTGAACTCACACCAGGCACCTATGCGTGCATGCCCAAGATCCAGAAAGGAGAATGGAGGAGAAGGTATTACAGTGTGGCCATCCCCCCTGGGTGGGGGGGGGTGGGGAAAGGGCGGTGATTTCTCGCTTTCTGTCTCTCTGTCTCTCTCTGTCTGTCTGGGGAGCACATGCGCCCTAAAGCAAAAAACTCCCAAAAAAAAAAAAAAAAAAAAAAAAGACCTCTATTACTAGGCCAGCATAGTGGTCATGTGCTCCCACATGATGACCACGGTTCAAATCCTGGATCTAATGGCTTGCTTTCTCACTTTCTCCCTCTCTGTCTGTCTCTCTCTGGTAAGCACATGTACTCTATAGCAAGTAACAATAATAATAACAAAATTTAATAAATAATTCTTTAAAAACATATTGCATTTTAACCATCCAGACTTCATTTGCAGGAAGTAAATCACACTAGCTAGCTTCTTAAATTTTGTTATCGTTATTATTATTTTAATTTGTTATACAGTATGTACACTCATCAGAGAGACAGAGAGAGAAACAGAGAAAGGGAAAGTGAAAAAGCACCCCACAGGATGGCCACACTGCACTCCCTTATCCTTCATTCTCCTCTTGGGATTTTGGGCATGCATGCACATGCACCTGGCACGTCTTTTCAAGCCGCTGTGTCTGGAATAAAAACCATGCAATGGGCTATGCAGAATCCAGCACTTCAACCACAATGCCAACTGCTGGTTCACACATTAGCTATTTTTTTTTAAAGAATGATTTTCACTTTATTTATTTATTTAAATCTGACCAGAGAGGGACAGAGTGAGAGAGAGAGAGAGAGAGAAAGTGAGAAAGCAAGCCACCAAGTCCAGACTCGAGCCATGGTCGGCCATGTGGAAGTCCAATGCCCCTAACCACCACACCATTTGCCAGACCCCACACTAGCTATTTTAAGCAAAGAAAAATTTTATTTTTTAAAATAAATATTTATGGGAGCCAGCAGGTGGCATTGTGGTTAAGGTATTGGACTCCCACATGGTTAGCCATGGTTCAAGTCCCAATCCTGGTGGCTTGAAATTCATGCCAGGTGTATGTGTGCCCAAAATCTAAAAGAAGGGATTGCAGTGTGGATGTCCCCCCAGAGGTGATTTCTCACTTTTTGTTTCTGTGTTTTTCAATGAGTGCACACACCCTATAGCAAAAATCTCTCATAAGAAAGAAAGAAAGAAAGAAAGAAAAGAAAAGAAAAGAAAAGAAAAGAAAAGAAAAGAAAAGAAAAGAAAAGAAAAGAAAAGAAAAGAAAAGGGAATAGTTATTTACAGGATTATTAGAGGGTCTAGAAGAGTGGTCTCTAGGGTGGCCCTTGAGAAATAAGCATGAACTAATGGCCTGGACTGCCAGGGGGATACCCCTTCATCCTGATTAGGGAGATAGAAAAATCAGAAAACACCCACTGGCATGACTGACCCCACAGACACATCACCCTCACAGACATTCAGGGACAGTCTTGTCACTGTCATGCCTATCAGCCCTAAAGCCAGGATACTTTTCAACTTGATCCTTACTGCCAAGAATGGATGTCCCTTATCCTCAGGTCTTGGTTCTCTGCCCTTATCAAGGGTTGTCTATCTTCGTCAACACTATTTCTCGCAAATGTGTGTTTGGTAATAAAATTTGAATATTATTATATTTCATTATTACCAATTTGTTGAGTAAAAATGGATTTAACATAAATTATTTTCCTAGATTAGTGTGGTTGAGCATGTTTTAAAGTATAAAAAGCCTTCTCTTGAATGCAAATGCTGAAATGATCTAGAAGTTTAAGTATTTGGTTAGCATATTTGTTTTACCTATGCTAAGTCAGATTTGTTCTATTTGCTGGTAAGATGTTTAACTTCTTAAGTTTCTGAAGTCTCCTTTCTTATTTCTGCCAACATTAGTTTCCAGAAAGGATTCCTTTTGCAAAATTGGGCTCATGTATTATTCTTTTATTTTTTTCCACAGCTTTTGGAGAGAACCAACAATGGTTTTGAGGAATCCGATTCTGGTGCTACCAAGAGTCCACTCCACTTAGCTGTAAGTGAAATGCTGTGGGCAGCTTCCCTTGTTAAAAAACAAAAACAAAAATAAAAACCCTTAGCATTCCTAAACTAGGTTGTACTAAAATGTAAGCACTGGGGGGCAGGAATTCATGATAATGAAAGTAGTACTTGGTTCAAGGCACAGGCTGCACAGAAAGACTGCCTCACCTTCTACTTACCGTGCTTGAGTCTCAGTTTCCCCATCTGTAAAATGAGGGCAAATGAAGAGATGATATACTTAAACTCCTTTCCGTGGTGTACTTAATAAATTATTGTTACAAATTTCAAAAATTCAAAGAGAGCATGGGGCCAGCAGGTGGTGTGGTGGTTAAGGGCATTGGCCTCCCACATGACCAACTGTGGTTCGAGTGCCTGACCTAGTGCCTAGTGGTTTGCTTTCTCACTTTGTCTCTCTCTCTCTCTCTCTTCTCCCCCTCTCTGGTCAAATTAAAATGAATGAATAAATAAATAAATAAATAAATACAATAAACTACAAATTTTTTTTTAATTCAGAGAGCATTTCACTTTAGGAAATTTGATAATAGACACCAATATACAAGTGTTAAATCTATGGATAATCAAATCCTACAATTAAAAACTTGGTGTTTGGGGGCCAGCAGATGGCGCAATGGTTACGTCACTGGACTCCCACGTAGTCTACCGTGGTACAAGTTCCGGACCCTGCGGGCTAAAAACTCATGTTGAGTGCGTGTGTGCGTGCGTGCCCAAAATCCCAAGAGGAGAATGGAGGAGAAGGGATTGTGGCGTGGCCATGCCCCCTGGGGGATGATTTCTCACTTTCTGCCTCTCTGTTTCTCTGGGAGTGTATGCGGCTATAGCAAAAATCTCTGAAAAAGAAAATCTGTCAGAGTTTTTAAGCACAACCATGTGAAAGCAAGATGAGCACATGCAGAATTGCAGCTGCTCTTTCTGCTTATCCTTGAAAGAAGGAATTGGAGGAGGCTGAGATGCTGATTCGTTACTGGGAGAAATTTGGGGGGGAAGGGAAGAAGAGTTATTTTATTACCAGGAAAGCTTTCTATCCACATCCTACCAACTAATGGAAAATTCAGCGACTCAGAGGGATGACCCCTAAACTCCTGGGAGTGACCGAGGGGGGAAGCACAGCCACCACTCTGCTCTGCCTCAGGACTGTGTCCTGCGGGCAGTTAGCAACAGCAGCTGTTCTCCAGGAACCCCCTGACTGGCGGCTACACCCAGCAACAGCCAGCTCATCTGCCCCAGGTGCTGCCGAATTGCAAGCATCAGGCCACCGTCACGAAAATGGTGTTTGGGTGCCTCTTTACTTTGTAAAACCCAGAGGCAGGATGCTAAGAAGAATGGCAAGAGGCTGGGTCTCTAACTGTTGTTATGACTTTCCACTTAATACAGTGTGTGCGTAGGCAGTTCTTCAAAGTGGTTCTGAGGAAAAATTGAGATGGAGAGTTTGTAGAGAAGAGAAGAGTCTTTTGTTTTTGTTGCTATTTTAATTTGCTAGTGGGCGTGTTGTATTTGCTGGAGAGAGAGAAAGTAAAGAGAGAGAGAGGGGAAGCCAAAAAGCACCCTCCTACCAACACCTTGGGGGGCTAGTCATACCACATACCTTTCTCCATTTCTGTTTTTGGGATTTGGGGCACCCACCCGCATGTGCCTGATATGTTTCTCATCCCACTGGGTCCAGGACTCGAACCACACTGTCGACCATGTGGGATCTAGCCACCTTAACCACCAGGCTGGTCCAAGAGGAATATTGTATTAATAGACATACAGAGGCATCAGGCAAGGTGGGAGGGGCCAAGTCCAGTGCACAAGGATTGGAATGTCTACCAATGATCACACTGCATGGAGCCCTCCCTTTCCTGCCTGTCTCCCCACATGTTCACCAGCACACCTGCTAACACACGACTTACATGTCCTCTGACATACCTGCCAGCAGTCACCCCCCTACACACACACACACACACACACACACACACACACGCATGCGCATGCACGCATGCATATGCTCATACATATTTTGAGTCCAATGAAATCAATCAATCTTTGTTCCTGGAGGTAGACTTCGATTGGAAAAGATGAATGAACAGGAAGATATTTTATGTATCAAGCTACCTGCTATAAAGCTTATTCTCTAGAATCCCTGCCCAGCTATCTGCTGTGTCTGGGAAGTTACCGCCAAGCTGAGCATTCACAGAAAAGCACTAGCTGCATTTAAAGAAGTCTCTAGAGAGAGTTATCTCAGAATTCTCATGCCCTTTGCAAGTGGAGCTGATTGCATTGCCAAGCCTCCCATTAATCTGAGGAGACTCTCTTGACTTTCAAAAACTCTATCATCTCTCTCTTTTTATTCTTTTTCAAAAATTATTTGGGACCAGCAGATGGTATAATGGTTACGTCACTGGACTCCCATGTAGTCAACGTGATTTGGGTCCCGACCTGGCTACTTAAAACTCATGCCAGGTGCATGTGCCTGCATGCCCAAAATCCCAAGAAGAGAATGAAGAGATTGCAGCAAGGTCATTCCCTCTAGGTTGTGATTTCTCGCTTTCTGTCTCTCTGTCTCTATCTTTCCAGTGAGTGTAGATGCTCTATAGCAAAAATCTCTCTCTAAAAATAATTATTATTTAGTGAATGCTTACTGTGCAGTAGATGTTTTGCTAAGCTCCGTGGGTTTCTAGTCACATAAAGACAGCGTGATGGTAATAGTGGAAAGAATCAGGCTTTGGGGCCAGCAGGTGGAGTGGTGATTAAAGGCATTAGATTCCCACATGGCTGACCACAGTTCAAGTCCTGGACCTGACGACTCGCTCTAGAGGAGGTCCCAGCTGTCACTCTTCTCATTAAATAAGAATCCCAAGGATGCTTTTTAATTTGTTGATTCACTTAATCCTTGTTAGAAAAATAATTTTTTTAACTTTATTTATTTATTTATTTAAATTTAACCAGAGAGGGACAGAATGAGAGAGAAAGTGAGAAAGCAAGCCACTAGGTCCCAGACTCAAACTGCGATCGGCCACATATGAGTCCATCACCCTTCTCATTAAATAAGAATCCCAAGGATGCTTTTTAATTTGTTGATTCACTTAATCCTTGTTAGAAAAATAATTTTTTTAACTTTATTTATTTATTTATTTAAATTTAACCAGAGAGGGACAGAATGAGAGAGAAAGTGAGAAAGCAAGCCACTAGGTCCCAGACTCAAACTGCGATCGGCCACATATGAGTCCATCACCCTTAACTACCACACCACCTGCCAGCCCCTATTTCATCTTTTTTTTTTTTTTTGGAGAGGTTTTTGCTATGGGGCGCATGCACATGCCAGAGAAACAGAGAAACACAGAGACAGAAAGCAAGAAATCACCCCCCGGGGGGATAGCCACGCTGCAATCCCTTCTCCTCCATTCTCTCGTGAGTTTAAGCCAGCAGGTCCAGGACTCAAACCACGGTTGACTATGTGGGAGTTCAGCCACATAGCCATTATGCTAACTGCTGGCCCCTATTTCATCCTTTCTTATGTGATCTTGGCCCAATTATCTAATCTCCTGTGTCTCAGTTTCTCTGCCCAGAATATGGGGAGAAGAGCAGTTTCAGGGATGACATGAGTTCATGCATGTTAAACAGAGCAGTGCCTTACACATCTGTGTAATTGCTAGCTTTGTCTCCTTGTTCTTCACGATCATCTCATTCTTTCAGTCAGCATACACTCACTGTGCATAGTGCTAATCATTATTCCAGGAGCTGGAGTTGCTGTAAACAAAATCCTGCCTCTGCCCTTGTAGAATTTCCAGTCTAGGAGAGACAATAGTCAAGTAAATATGTATTGAATAGCACGGCAGATGGCCCAAAGTGTTTGTTACAAGTGCTACAGAGCGAATGAGAAGGGATTGGTGAGGCAGAGCTTGGAAGTGGCAGACAGGGTACTTTTTTACATAGCATGGGCTCTCTCGCATTTGAACAGAGACCTTTAGAGCTACCCATGTTGTATCTGACAGAAGAGTCCTCTGGGTAGGTGCGCAAGGTCCCCGGTTGCGAGCCTGATGGGTGCGTCTGACAAACAGCAGCTAGGCCAGGGTGACTGGGGCAGAGCGGGAAGAGGACATGTGGAGGGAGCAAGGAGTAGGGGAGGGCTGTCACAGATTTCACAGGGCCCTGTAGTCCTTTGCAAGAACTTTGACTTTTACTCTGAGCAAAACAGGAAGCCATTTAAGTTACAAGCAGTCAAATAATGTCGTATGACTCTGATTTTAAACGGATCACTCACACTTGGGTGTTGAGTTTAAACGGCAAAAGAACAAAAGTGGAAGCAGGTAATCAGGCAAAAGGGGATGACAGTGATATTGACCGGGGTGATAGCAATGCAGTTGTTCTGAAATTATTTTATTCTTGCCCTTTAAATGCTAATTTTTAAAAAATTATTTGCTTTAAGACCCCACAAATATGCCCATCACTCTCTCCAGGGGCCTCTGCAGCAATTAACTCCATAAAACCCAAGGCAGATGTTTGTTAGGTGGAAACACTGAGGCAGTCAAGTGGAACCAGATGCCCCCAAATCTTGACTGCTACAAAAAGCCTGACCTGTCTTGAGTTTCTATTTCCTGGCTGAATGATTCAAGTCTCCAGGGTTATTGGCCCAATGAATTTCATAAGCATTTCATCACTCGAAAAAAATTAAATTAAGAAACAAGGTTATGTAAATGAAGGTTCCAGCTGTTGACATTTCCAGATGGACCCGTTGTTTTCATGACTTCTGCTGCAATCCTGATTCTTTTCTCTTGTTGCTCTTAGTTCCTATATAAAAAGATTCAGAAAAATTAATCATGTATAAGAAATACTTAAGTTACCTAATGAGATTTTTCTTTTTCTTTTTCTTTTTTTAGAGGTTTTTGCTATAGGGCGCATGCGTGTGCCAGAAAGACAGAGCCAGAGGTAGAGAGACAGAAAGCGAGAAATCACTCCCTGCCCCCCAGGGGAGATGGTGCCACAATCCCTTCTCCT